AGTCGCCCGCGATGGTCGGAACATTTCTCACCTTCCTCAAGACACTGAATAGCCTTCAACTTCGTCTCAATGTCAAGGGTCTTGCGCTTCTTGACGCTGGCCATAGATAGCTACACGAGAAGTCGACAATTCAAGGAGTCCACAGCGGCCTTGCACACCACACACGCAAAAGAGAAATGCTGCACATGCGGTGGTATGAAGGTGACGCGATAACGATAGCAATAAAGCGCTCGCGAAGCGATGGCCACCTGTGAGGACAACAGCAAACGGCGTGAGCTGTAGTTGGCTGATCAAAACTCGCAAAAGAGCAACAATAATAAAAGAAAAGGTGAATGGAGGAGGACCTCGGATCTCGGCTCCTTCATTCCTGCTCACCGAGCCAACGGGTACGCGGAGAAAGCATGTGAGAGAGAAAGAGAGACGAGGAAAAAAGAAAAAATCGTTTCGCAAGTTGGAGATTGTGCAGTTTGAGCTCTCTCACCTTTACCTTTTTTGAGCGTTTCAGGTGTTGGCGGAGGCATGGTGCCGCGCGGAGGTTGCTGGGCACTGCGATTGCCAAAGAGCTCCTTCAAGCTCGCCCGCGGAGCTGTGCTGCTGCGGAGATCTTGTGAGGGGGTGGTGGCGAGGCGAGTTTCAAAGTGCACCTTCCAGCTCGGGCGGCGTTTGATATAACCGAAGGCGGGTAAAAATACCGTTCGATATAAACGTGCCAATTCCTATACTTCTACAAAGAAATTTTAAGAGGAGAACTTGCAAGTTCGATATACCCGAAAATTCAATATATGTGGGTTCGATATAACCATGTTCGACTGTATTAGATGTATTAATTTGCTCAGATCATCTTCAGTAAGGAAAACTGAGACATTTTTCTGTGGATGAGTGCAGCTAGTTAATGTGTGCAATCTGTGCACATGTTCAGCTAAACTGTGGAAAGCTAGGGCTAAAAAGGCCTGAAGACTGCTTTACGAGTTACCATGGTCTAGAGACAGACACCTCTGGGCTACACATATAATTTAACTGAAAAGGGAAAATACCCCATGCATCTAAACGCTTAAAGCACATGTACATACACAGCAACGCTATGCATTCTAAATAGACTCTTCACTAAAAAATGAAGACGGAGAAGTCCTTATTGTCCATTGTGATGCAGCAGTCCTCTCCATGTCATGGCGTCAGATGTCAAGTCACGATGTGTTGGCGCAGCTTGGTTGCTGTTTTCCGTGGTGATGACGGAGGATCTTCGTTATAGGGTGATGCCAGACCAGCGTGGCACCTGACATGATTTGCAGCATCCCGAGCCAAAGACCCTGGCTTGGGATGCTGCAACGTTGACAAGGGGTGTAGATAGGTTACAGGTGCGAGGTCCTAACTCGTGCTGTCTCGATCAGCAAGCACGTCTCTAGGTCAAAGCTGGGGAACTAGCTGCCTGGCTTCCTGCACATGTCCCCCCAGCCTGCTCTTCGTCTTCCGCCATTGCCGTTCTTTTTGCTTTCACACTTTTAAATGCGAAGCATTTCTTAGCGAACTTCAGCGAATTTGAGCATATCTGTCTATCTATCTATCTGTCTGTCTGTCTGTCTGTCTGTCTGTCTGTCTGTCTGTCTGTCTGTCTGTCTGTCTGTCTGTCTGTCTGTCTGTCTGTCCATCCGTCCGTCCGTCTGTCCGTCCGCTTACGTTTGGGTGCTCTCGTAGTCACCCCCTTAACTTGGCGTGAACCAAATTAGCATGGGAGGGTAACACGGTTTGACGAATATGACCCGCTGGTCAAGACATGGGTATGTCGTCAAACAATTCCGGGAGGACAGTGGCACATGCCCATGGGCGGATATGTGCCGCTGGTATGCGGGTATGTGCCACAGGTGTATGACAGTTAGTATCTACCCAGGAAGGACGAGAACACACATGGCCAGTTCTAACGCGCGAGCGTTAAGAAATGCCCGACATCGGTAGCGTCAACTCACCGAATGCAAAGAATAAATAACAGGATCCCCACTGGAATCGTACCCAAGCATTCTGCGTGGCAATGAAGCATTTCACCACAGAGCTACGCCAGGTCACGGAATTACTTTTCAAATAGACAGTAATCTTCATAAATTGTCAATAGTTGTTGGATTGCCGCCAACCCAATTTTATAGACATTACATCTGTACTCCTTTGAACAGCCATCATGTTGGGTAAACAATAATTGTGGTTTGTTGTCATGAACTGAAGTTGATTTGTGTAGCAGGGTCCTGTACCAGCATTCGAGAGCATCAGCGCTTCATTTCAGGTTCTGATTGATTTGTGGGGTTTAACATTTCAAAACCACGCTATGATTATGAGATACGCCGTAGTGGAGGGCTCCAGAAATTTCGACCACCTGGGGTGCACCTTTAACGTGCACCCAAATCAGAGTACACGGGCCTACAACATTTCCGCCTCCATCGGAAATGCAGCCGCTGCAGCCGGAATTCGATCCCGCGACCTGCGGGTCAGCAGCCGAGTACCTTACCCACTAGACCACCGCGGCGAGGCCATTTCAGGTTCTGGTGTTGCTAATACGCATGATCCATTTGACATCGTTGCCCAAGTGCGAACAACTGGTTATATAAACATCTGCAACTCTTCAACATATGGCTGTGCGGGCAACATTGGTAAATATATATAATGTCATTTCATGACGTATCGCTCAATAGAGAAATTGCAACACGGTCACCTTTCCTCCGCATGCTTGGCATAATGCCGATTCCCAGATATGTGGGATCTATCGATTTTTTTCAGGAGCAAAGCTCCCTAATGTTGAGGCTTGTCTGTTGGCGGGGGTGATGATGATGACAACGCTGATGCAGATGACGACAATGATCACGGATAGTGACTGGCTTGTGTAGTAGGTATATGACGCTTGATATGCTCTACAATGCATTTCATACAAACGGAAACAACCAACAACAACCAGAGGGACGATGAGCACATACCTTGTCTTTGCCAACTTCAGGCTAGATCTGATACTACAAACCAGTATTAATGAAGGCGAAACATACTATTTGACACACTCTTACTTGTGACAACTACACATAGCAACTTGGAATTTGGGTGTGCCATTATGGCTCAAATAAAAAATGTATTGTGATGTGACATTGATATACCGGTGCTTCACTTCAGCACACATCTTAAACTGTATTGAGATTTTTTCTTTTTCTTTTTGTAGTCAACCTTGTTTTAACACTGTACCCACACATAAACTTTATAACTGGCTGGAAATTAGCTTTAAAATATAAATAATCTTTTCATCAAAATCGTCATGATCTCATTAATCTTTCTAATCTAAAAGGAAATGCTCCGTTTCATTATCTTCTCACACAAGATTTATGGACTATCCCTTTTTTTTGCCAAGCTCAATACAGACGACGAATGTTATAGTATTGTATGCCTCACTAGCTCAACATCCTCCGTCATCCTGCTTCAGTTAGAGAAATGTACAAGTGACTTATAAAAAACAGTTCCTGTAACTAACTTTATGCTAAAAATGAATGCAGTGCAGTACAAAGAGCTGTTTATATTCCTATTTTTTGTTTTATATTTGTCTGTTACTTTTGATCAATTAACAGATCGAGTTGTTTACTTTCACTCTTTATCTTTGGTGCTATAAATGTTATGTAAATGAAGTGTAAATTCACTCATTACCTTTCTTTTTCTCATACATATGTATGTAACATGCTGGTTTGATTTTGTGATGGTGCTTGCATTGGCTTTGCGATAGTGTGTTTTTTTGTATGCAACAAGCAGGTTTTTTTTTGTGACAGCATTTGCACATACTTGCGCCTTGCGTATATCTACTGCGTACCTAGCACATGAAGCTTGGGTGTCCCTTAGGTGAACTGTTTTCTTTTTTCTCCCGGGTTGTCCGCATCTTTTATGATGTAAATAAACTGGGATTAGGTCTGGTTTAAACTTGGAATAACAAAATTGAAAAAAAAAATTACTGGAGCTTTTTTAAAGAAAAGGTTACATGCAAGCACATGAGTGTTGTTTCCCTTTCATGTATTGCAATAGTATAATGTTTTGAAAATGCTGTGATGCTTTCCCAGTGTTGTGGCTCTTCAGTCTAACATATTCTTCAGGAGTCTCCACGGCATGCCTAGCCCACGTTCTTGGCCCATCTTGTGCCCAACGCTTGCCAATGCCATCCGTGTTGCTCAGTTTAGCCGGCTGCTGCTCCATATTACTTGCTCTGTCTATGCTTGGCGTCTCTATGGTTCATGGCAACTGGCCAAAGTGGTCAACCCAGCATGTATTTGCATACTCTCTTTCCTCCGCAGCACTCAGCCTCTTTCCTTCTCTGCTTTGTTGTGCTCTTTTTTGTGTAGTTTTTTTCCTCAAGGCATCCTCTTTCTATGTGTGGCACTCGCTTTTTCTGGGGGACTTCAGATTTTACCAATCTCGCCAATTTCACACACATTTAGACCTGCATGTAAAAAAATACTTGTGGAAGCTCAAAAACAGAGCTTGTTGATATGCAGCACGGAAAGTTGTGCAAGTTGGTAAACGTTCATTATATTTGAACTGTGCGGGGAGATAATACACAAAGAAAGAAGCAAGGACAGACTAACAGCTGGATTTATTGAAGGATGAACAAGTATTTCGAACACTCTCAGCCTATATGACATGTCCCTGTATGGACTCACAAAGGAACCACTAAAGACCATGAAAATAGGTATGTTGGAGAGTTATCAATGAAACAGCAAAACTATTATCATCACTGTGCAGTTCGGATACATGTTGGTATGATGTAATGAGATTTATAGTGCGAGAAACTCAAGGATAGCAGTGACATGCACAGGTGCTTATCACTTCTGTCCTTGTCGTTTCTTTTGTTATAAACCTCACTTCTGAGAAAATACCGGCTCATTCTGGCCCATTCACTTATGTGTCACATACCACTTTGATCCAGGCAGTGGAATATTTATGTTATAAAACTCTGGGCAACATTTTAGTTGGATGTGTTCGGTGCGCCTGTGCAGGTGCTGTTAGAATGTGGTGAGGAGAATCGTGCAGTAAAGGCCTGGGAGGAGCTGCTGCGGGTGCACCCAGGAAATTCTCGCCTCTGGCTGGAGCACGCCCGCTTTCTTCAGTCAGAGACTACGCTGTCAGGCTTTGAGGTAGCTGCGGCCAGCAAGGGCTACCTGCGGGCCCTGGCCTGCTTCAGAGACATGCTCGAGGGGCGGCGGGCAACCCGCAGGGAGCCCCTCGAGGTCGAGAGAAACATTGTAGGTGCGTAGTAGAGCAGTGATCAACATAGGTGAAATAACCCTGTGCAGGTGCCTGTTCAAATGTCTTCACATCACGTAGCTCAAACATTCTGGATTATGTTGTACTGGTGTCTTGCGAGTCAAATCAAATGCTTGCTAGAAATGAAGTGCTGCCCAGAGGCCAGAGGAAAAATGCGTGTGATGCACTGCAGGCAATGCTAGTGTGATATATTGCAGCAGTCTGAGCATATCAACTGGCAGTTATTCACTGTGGCAGTCACATGATGATTTTACCTGGTCTAAAAATTCATGTGTAGATGAAAGATATTGTGCGCTTTTCTGTGCTGATGAATAGATCTTGCACTTTTGTTCTTAAAGGACCCTGCTATACTGCTTGAATATAGTCTGTGGACATATGAGAAAATGTTGTTGAATTGCATGAAATGTCTAGTTTCATGTCACCAGCAGGCACTTATCATTTGCTTTCTCTTCAGCAATGACTTCGTACAGCATGTGCAGCATTATCTTCAACATAAATACCAATCAACTAGCTCTGCTATTGGTTACTGTAAATTTTTTGTTGCCTTTACTTCTCTATTAATTTTCATCTTACTCAAGTAATACATTAAGGAAAAAAATTACACCCTCTCCCACTAAAGGGAACCATGAGTATCATGCAAAGCAGTGCATGGGTCAACTTACAGTTCCGTTCATCACGGGCACCTTGCCAGAAGTTAACGTGTCCTTGTGAGTGGAGCACACCATTAATTCACTGTCGTTTCTGTTGCCGTTACTTGTCCCGCACTCCAGTTGGAGCACGCCACGCAGGTTCATTGCCATGCCACCCGGGAGCATGTGGGTTCATCACGCGTCTGCAGGATCTTGTTCCCTGACGCCATCACGTGGTTGATGTGAAAGTGTAAGGGGGTGAGGCTAGAGCCTCTTACACAGCCACTCACGCAGGACCGAATGTGCCAGCACTTGTCTGTGTCTTCTCTTGTGTCCCCGTATGAATTTGCACTGTTTGTACTTCATAATACCAAACTAACGAGCCCAAAGCTTTACTTCATTAAGCGCCTTCTCACTAGGATACAACAATAGAGTTTCATACAATTGTATAAAACTCTATGGACACAATGCCTTGGTTCATCGCGCGTCTGCAGAAACGTGTTCCCCGACGCCATCCTGTGGCTGCTGTGAAAGTGTAAGGGGGAGAGGCCACAGCGTCTTACACAGCCTGTTGCGCAGGCCTGAACGTGCTACCGCGTGAGCGCATTTTGGCAGTGCTTGGGCCAACTGTTGCGCATTCACAGTAAGGGTGGTGACGCTGCACACCACCAGATTGAACTCCGCCATGAGCTGCTCGCATCTAAAATGGTGCGCAGTATACTTAGTCTCACATCGCCGAGTGCTGACGCGTGAACTTGCTAGCCCCTGACCTGGGCAGTTCGTGGCTGTGGGGTCTGATTAGCTTGACTGTGGAGTCTGCTGCCGATGCATAAAATGCGTGTCCAGAGTTTTAAGGGAAACGTCGAGCGATGTGCTTCGTTGCGTGCGAAAAAGCACGTCATGGGTGCATTTGCCTGTTGTTCTTGCTCGCAAAGTTCGAGGTTCGTTCGGCCAGCAGTAGAGTTACGCCCAGTGACGACATCGAGCATTGGACGTGTTGCCTATTAGAGCGGCACACCATTGTTATCTGATCGAGCATCTTTTTCAGCCTTTAAAGCATAATTACAATTATAAGTGATCATTGAGCCGTGAACACGTCATAAAGTAGTGTGATTTTTGACAACCTTGATCTCGCGACGCGCGAGCAACAGACAACTATCTCTTGGAGTGAGCATCGAACGAATGAACCTTTCCAGAAATAGTGCTGTGCCTTCCCCTGGTGGATTGGTGATGAAGCACTATGGGAGAGGGGAGCGCTGGGGGGCAGATCAAACAACGCTTTCCTGCTTTCGCCTGCTTTCATAGCAGACTGTGAATGGTTTTGGCTGGTGTAAGGTGCTGCTCTTGTGGAGAAATGGCTACTCCTGAGCGCTCCGACTTTCACGCACGCTAGACTGTGTTAATGTTCACCCCGAATAACTTTAATCATCGCTGAACATGCCGAAGAAAAAGGAAAGCGGTAAACAAACGCTCTGCTCTTGGATGTGATAACACACGAAAGACACCAGACCTTTTGTGCATTGCTTGGTGCTACTTAAAAACTTGGATTTTTGTGATGATGCAGCTAAATTTGACCTTTTTAAAGATGTTTGTGTCCTCACTCACGGTGATTACAGGGCTGCGATTGTACTCTTCAAGCATAATATGTAAATAACTAAGTGAATTTATTAAGGCGAGAGCCTTAGATACCTCAATTAAAAATCACTGGGTCCTTATCCATTCATCCGAGACGAATCCAAGGCAAAGGCCATTTTCTTTTAGGAGCTTGCTCCTACATCTTGTGCCCTGTTCAGCGGCTGCCGGTGTGTACACCAGTATTGCCACTGTACACTCACAGGTCGCTGCTTCGGTCAGCTCATCGATCATTTAAACAATGCTCACTATATGGTGCGCCACCACCCAAGGCGTTGGTTTTCGTTGGCCCACATGCTCGCCTCCTCGCGACTATGCCCACTTCGTCCTCGTCGCCTCATAAGCTCAGCAATACGTGACAAATTCATATGATGAGTGTTACACAAGGGTACTTATTTCCTCCGAAGCCCCCTCACCTGCCAGCTTTCAACCCCATTGAAGAATGCGTGATAGCTCCACCTTTGCCATTTGTGAGTGCTAGGCATTTGACTCACGGCAGCGATGCCAGCAGCCAGTGTGGCATAAAGTGACAGGTGGTTAATGTGCAAATCGACTTGGCCAGCACTGTGCAGTGGTGACCACGGAATGAGCCCGACCATGCTGCCTTTGACGTACACATCATGCGCCGGCTCATTAAGAAGACTTTGTACAGGAATGATCTCGCTAAGAAATGCCCCGTGCATCACCGAGTAAGCTCCTCTTACATCATCCACTTTGTGGATGTGGTGGTGACTTTTTTTTTTTCAGTCGATGTACTGATCCTACCCAGCCATTCCAGGACTGTCAGGAGGATTTTGCCGTGAGTGCAAACTCGTCTTGCATCGCGGCTGGGGGAGAGCACTGGTGTAGCTTCGGTGTGGGCAACTGCTGGTGTGGCTTGAAGGTGCCAAGTGGCTCTCTGCTGACGCCCATGCCCGCCATCTTTCACACCGCCCTTCGAGAGCTTGCTTCACCTATTGATGTTTCGCACTGCCTCCAAGATCGGAGGCAGTGCAAAGCTGATTTTGCATTGCTCTTGTGATCAGACCACCTTTGACCAAGTTAGGATGTCATGCAATGACATCCTAACTTGGTCATGCAATCTGCGCACTGACAGCACTCACTTGATGTCTGCTCCCCGCGTCTGTGAAAGCACGCATTCGGTGCGCGGCGATAGCACAGACCCGAGCTAATGGGGGAGTTTCGACTCCCTCCCATGCCTAGCCGTGCGTAGCTGAGCCGTGTCTGGGGAAAAGGGAATACTGCGAGTTGAGCCTGACGCCGGGTGATTGGACCTTTAAGGTCCCCCGGCAGAAGCAACACACCCCTTTGGCCCTGGCTTCACGTATCCAGCGCCCCTGTACTGACCCACACAGGGGAAATCGGCAGTCGCTTTTTCCTATCCCTCTCTCTCTCTCTCTCTCTCTCTCTCTCTCTACATCTTCGTCTTTGCCATCACTTTTTATCTTTCCTGTCTTCTTGTTTCTTCCTTTTACTTCCGGTTTTTTTGGCAGCGAGGGTTAACCCTGTGCAAATAGCCCACCTTGGTCTAGGCGCATTGGGCTATAGTGGCCTTGCACGACTGGTGTCAGCACGTTTTTAGTATTTACAAGCTTGTAGCGTCCCCTCGTTGGGCTCCATGGTGGGTGGCTGCCAACGCTGCTGAATAAAAAACGCCAGTCCTGCGCGGTAGGTACAGCACAGTCACAGCGAAAGCTAGAAGAGCGGCCTTTCAGAGCCTTTCAAAACACTATTGGGTAACTACAAGCACACTTGCTTGGTACCCTCTAGGGCATTTATAATAAACTTGTGGGCAGTAGGCCAGCATTTGCTATGCTATTTTTTGTCATTCTTCTCAGAAGCGTGGTATCCGCTAAACACTTGCTAGGAATTTTGTGCCAATTGTCCATGCAGTGGCTGACGACTATGAGGAATTATGACGGAAGTGAGTATGGGCCACAGTTAATAGGGAAACAAGAACAAGCTTTTGTAATGGGTTGGGGCATCGACTAGTTGCTCTTTCGCTGTTGTAAAACTTTTTTATAAATCGTATTAATGTGATTGCTTTCCCGACATCAAGCCTGCCTAAGGCAAGTTTGACAACAAGTCACAAGCACCGGAAAAGCTCAGTGGTAGAATACTGGGCTGGCACCCAGCGGACCCGGGCTCGAGCCCCACTGTGCCATTGGGGCGAGGTCATGCCTGCCAAAGGCAAGTTTGACAACAAGATACAAGCACCGGCGTAACTCAGTGGTAGAATACTTAGCTGGCACCCAGCAAACCCGAGTTCAAGCCCACTGTGTCATTGGTGCAAGGTTTTTTTCTAATTCAGGGCGATGTGGTTATGGACACCGGCGCCGGCGGCGGACAACATGCAACTGCGCATGACCCGTCTTGTGATATCATAACAGCTTTCGCTGTAAAATAAAACCGGCATGCATAGAGCATTATCCTTACTTATCAATCGTACCGGCTTGAAGCAGGTACGCACTGATGACATGAACTTTTTCAACAGGCCAATAGAAACATTTCCTCATTTTCATATCATCCACTGTGAGAAAACTGGAAAGCAAGCCAGGACTGTATCTCCTTTCGTAGTTGCTAGATGTCTTACCGAAACTCTTGGCGCTTGATACAATGTAACCAATATGGCTAGCAGAGACTTTCTCCTCGAAGTTTGAGACAAAGAACAATTTGAAAAGCTAGACCGGCTCTCATCTTTCGGTGGCATACCGATCACTG